CTCATTCTCTCTCTCAAATAAATAAATAAAATCTTTAAAAAAAAAAAAAAAAGAATGAGGTGTTGGGCCAGGTGTTACTTTGGCTTCTGCAACTGTTCCTGATATTTAACTTCCACCATCTTCTTGAGCACTCTAGAGATTATTGTTTTTCTACTTGTCTGGGGGGACTTGGGGTTCCCCACTTGACCCACAGATACTGCAGACCGCGTAGGTTAAGATGTGCAGAGAATCAGCTGCACGTTGACAGGCATTTTCCTGGGCATTTAGGGGAGGTGGGCTGGTACATCACCACTTCCACGACCCATGGCCACCTCTTGCACCTTCCTCCACCCGCTCAGGTTCGAGACCTTGGAGCCCGAGATGAACGCCCTTGCAGCCCGGATCAGTGCCGTGAACGACATTGCGGAACAGTTGCTGAAGGCCAACCCCCCGGGCAAGGACAGCATTGTCAATACCCAGAAGCAGCTCAACCACAGGTGGGCCTGGGGAGGGGAACCAAGAAAGGATGCAGCAGACAGGGATGGCAGCCAGAAGGGAGAGTCCTAGAGGGCATGGTACGGAGGCTAAAAATGAGGAAGGAAGGCCATCTGGAGTATGTTGTGGGGCAGAGGTGGGAAATGAGGAAGGGAATGAAAGGGGGTGAAGGTAGTCCAAAAAGGCTTGTGCCTGGACGGGGAGTAATCAAGGAGTCAAGGTCAAGGGAGGATGAGCCGGGAGCAGCCTCTTTAACGCAGCACAAGCAGGTGGTAGAATATCCCAAAGGAGAGGCAGGGAAGAAGCTTCCAGATATACCTGGACAGCGCAGGGAAGCTGAGCAGCTCCAGACACCAGACCCCCCCCCCTCAGGTGGCAGCAGTTTCGGACCCTGGCCGATGGCAAGAAGGCAGCTCTGACGTCAGCCCTGAGCATCCAGAACTACCACTTAGAATGCACAGAGACCCAGGCCTGGATGAGAGAAAAGACCAAGGTCATCGAGTCCACCCAGGGCCTGGGCAATGACCTGGCCGGGGTGCTGGCGCTGCAGCGGAAGCTGGCCGGCACCGAGCGGGACCTGGAGGCCATCGCCGCCCGGGTGGGCGAACTGACTCGAGAGGCCAATGCCCTGGCCGCTGGCCACCCCGCCCAAGCCCCTGCCATCCATGCCCGGCTTGGAGAGGTCCAAGCTGGCTGGGAAGACCTGCGGGCCACCATGCGACGCCGGGAGGAGTCACTGGGTGAGGCGCGGAGGCTGCAGGACTTCCTGCGCAGCTTAGATGACTTCCAGGCATGGCTCGGTCGCACGCAGACCTCTGTGGCCTCTGAAGAAGGGCCAGCCACCCTGCCCGAGGCAGAGGCCCTCCTGGCCCAACACGCAGCCCTGCGGGGAGAGGTGGAGCGGGCCCGCGGGGAGTACAGCCGGCTCCGGGCCCTGGGTGAGGAGGTGACCCGTGACCAGGCTGATCCTCAGTGCCTCTTCCTGCGGCAGCGACTGGAAGCCCTGGGCACCGGCTGGGAGGAGCTGGGCCGCATGTGGGAGAGCCGGCAAGGCCGCCTGGCCCAGGCCCATGGCTTCCAAGGCTTCCTGCGGGATGCGCGCCAGGCCGAGGGCGTGCTCAGCAGCCAGGTGAGAGCAGGGACACAGAGTCCCACCCAGGAAGAAGAGGGGACTAAGGACAGGGAAGTGTGGATGAGAGAAAGGTGGATGAGGAGGAAATGGCAGTGGGTGGAGTAATTGAGGAACCAGGATGGACAGGGAGAACGTGCAAGAAAAATATAGGAGTTAAAAAAAACAAAAAAAAACAAGATGTAGGTGCTTGGTTGGCTTAGTCAGCAGAGCATGTGACCCTTGATCTCAGAGTTGTGAGTTCAAGGCCCATGTTGGGCTTAGCACTTACTTAAAAAAAAAAAGTAAATATAACCTGCCGAAACTGACTTGAGGAGAAATAAAAAACCTGACTTGTCATGTAACTGTTAAATCAGCGGCCAGAAATAATTTGGAACAGGATTTGGGCTGTTAAGGTCCTCCTGCCCAGCTCCCTTGATACTTTGCGAGCCTGTGGCATAATCAGGACCTCCCCCAACAATGTCTTCAGAACCAGACCGTCCACCCTCCCCTCCCCAGCTGGGCTCCACGTCTGATGCATCCTTCAGTAGGTCCCTTCTGAAAAGTCGACAAGTACTTTTGAGAAGTGAGCTGCATACCTCTCCTCCCACACAGGAATACGTTTTGTCCCACACGGAGATGCCAGGGACTCTCCAAGCTGCGGATGCCGCCATAAAAAAACTGGAAGATTTCATGAGCACCATGGATGCCAACGGAGAGCGGATCCGCGGGCTGCTGGAGGCTGGGCGCCAGCTGGTGTCTGGGGGCAACATCCACGCCGAGAAGATCCAGGAGAAAGCCGATTCCATCGAGAGGAGGTATGATGAAGACAGTGGGTACATGGGAGCCCTGGTGGGGAAGTGAGCGAGAAGAGCCTGGCCGGTTCCACTGATGAAGAAGTTGGAGAACGCAGCACAGACAGATGGTTGTGGGGGCTGATGAAAAGTAGAGGAGGAAGAACTTAGTGGTCAGAGAGGGACTAAGCCATGAGCTGGGAAGCTCTGCTTCCCCCACACCAGGGGAGATGAAGTCCACTGGCCTAGCTGGATGGCGGACATCCGTAATCCCGGGTTGTCTTGCAGTGCTCCCAGAAGGCATTGTCCCCGTAGCAAGAGGACTGAAGGCTTGGGGCACCTGGGTGGCTCAGTCGTTAAGCGTCTGCCTTCGGCTCAGGTCATGATTCCAGGGTCCTGGGATCGAGCCCCGCATCGGGCTCCCTGCTCCGCGGGAAGCCTGCTTCTCCCTCTCCCACTCCCCCTGCTTGTGTTCCCTCTCTTGCTGT